GCTGTATCAAGAAAGAATAAACTGGTTTAATCAAGAAAGGACTTGTATCGCTGAAGTTCCTCAGAAATAATTTCTACCGGAAATTAACAAACAAGCAGATACGCAACAATATCTTTCACTGATAAAAAACTTCTTATGTAGGAAGAGAAGGAGAGTGAAGAGCCTTAAATAGCAAGATCTCCATGGTATAATGAGAGGAGAAATAAGCACCAAAGGTTCCAGAATCAAGAACTGGCTACAAGGAAGGGTTACTACTGAAAGTCTCAATGGTCTGCCCTGTGGGAGAGGGAATAGCAAGTAGAAGAAATAGGATGTTAAAAAGGAAAGGGATAGCCCTAAGGGACTATTGGGGTCAGGTAGCCAACCAGGGTATCCATGACCCAGTGGGACAGGTAACCAGGAAATTGAAGGAAGATTGTTGGTGAGTAGTTCCACTCCAATTTCTCAAAGAAGAGGGAACAGTGAGAAAAAGGTCAAGACTCAGGTCAGGGAAATTGAACACCCACAAGAAAAGCACCCAGACCAGGAAGATCACAAGAAAAAGAGAAATAAAGTCAAAATAGAGACAGTACAGGAAGAAATAAAACCAAGAGGCAAACAAAAAAGAATGGATAGCCTCATAAAAATTATTGGAGTTATGAAGAAGAGCCACAGTTACGTAGTGACGGGGGGAGATACAAGCAAAAGAGTAAAGGTAAGATGAAGACAAGTAGATTGTAAGGAAGAAGGAGAAAGAAGAGTGGTCCAAGCATAATGAAAGAATATAAGAGATTGTGGTTCAAGAAAGACAGAAGAGACATGATCTTAGGCCACAGCAAAAGAGTCATGAAGATGAGGTGGACAAGGAAGACATTGATAAACTCGGAGTTGGGACAGGAAGAAGCCCATCAAGTAAAGCAAACCAAGTCATTATGATGTACAGATGAAAGAGACGGAAAGTTACATATTTGAAGTACAAGCATAGAAAGTAGAATATACATTACATTTACATTAGCCTCAAGAAGGGTTTACAAAGAAGTCCAATGTGTAAAGCCCCTAGTGTCTCAGTGGTAAGCTTGAGAGCTTATAATGCTAAAATCAGGTTGTAACACATAGTGGGCACAGTGCACATAGGTAATTAGTGTAGTTTTGTACTTTAAACACAAACAAATAAATCAGTATGTAAAATCCAATCCAATATTTTGTAGTTAAAATTTATTTACTATACAATAAACAAAGAACAATGCACACTTATGAAAATATCATGTTTATGGATGTGCTATTTTTTGTTTTGTAATGTTTAAAGCCCTCACGCTGATAGTGTTTGACCATTTTATTCTATTTCCACAACCACTTCAAAGGAAGGAACTTGATGATGGGATGATTACAAATATGTAGTATGCTTTTTAAAACTAAGTTTTATTGTCATGAGCAATTCTCCATACAGGACTACTTTCAAAATAATATGGACACTTATATTTTATCACCTAACACAAATTAAACATGTTTAACTTGCCTGTGAAATTTAAATAAATTTTATTTAAACTAATTTGAAAATACACTTATATTGCCCTTATACCATTTGTACAGTGATGTTTAAACAACAAGCTATGTATTGCACAAAAAATAATTACAGCAGTGTACATTAAATAAGCTCCATAAGTCTATGTGTTACCACATTACCATAGGAAAGTATTATATAAGCCCCATAAGTTGGTGTGTGTATGCAGTAATTTAGTTACCATAGCTATATACGAAACTGTAAGTTCCCATATTTGATTGCCCATAATGTAGGCCTCATGAGCCAGTCCTTTAAAACACTATGTGTGCATGTATATGCATATATTTCATCAATTACTGCTTCCAGTTTCATTTTTTCTGATGGTAATGGTTCCGCTAATGTAGTTTTGCTGTTACTGTCTTTTGCAACAGTACTTCTATTTATCATATTGTGAAAACGTTATTAATATCCATTGAAAATTCATTAGAATTATTGTTGTATTATTTTCAAACATGTGCCATGCTTTATATTTTTAACATATATATAATGAGAGGGGCACATGCCCCTCTCAATATTTACTAAGTAGCAAAGTGCCTCTTTGAATGGGTAATAGGAACTTATGTATAAGTATCATAGAAAGTAGCTGTTTTAGTTTTGAATTCAATGATCGTAGTTAAAATTGTAAATAAGGTGCCCCTCTTCCAAATTCAAATATGTTCTGCCACCCAAACCAGCAGTTGTAACAATTAATGTGTAAAACCAAAATGTCAGGAAGCAATAATAATAATAATATCAATAAAAAGCAAAAATCATGGGATAAAGGTAATTTTTTTGTAGAGAAGCCCAGATAGAGACAATCTTCAAGTACCTAGTCAATTATTTTTAAATGAACAGTAGGTCACAATCTCAGCTGATGAGATGCTTTTAACTATACGACATATAACAATAGTTGTACAAACATTTTATTATCTTGAGTAGTTCTAGTTCTAGGATAGGTAATTAGGCTTACATAAAAGTACCATATTGTGGATAATTGGCCATTGTATGTTAATAGCAAAATAAAAATAAAATAGTTGGCCTTTTTTGTAGTTAAAAGATAGTCTTCTTGTCATACCACTTTGAAATATTGTGGACCTTTGTCTTTCTTATTTTTTCCTTTCTTCTCCTCTGCATTTTCTTTGAATCTGAGCTACTTTTGTTCTAAAGTAAAACTAAACCTATGACTGTAAACTTTTACAATTTTATAACACGAGAAATTCTATACAATTCTTGTTTCTTAATAAACATATACACAAAATGAAACTACAAAAAATTTCAATGCTTTTGTACTGTTTTTCTATTTAACATTTTTCCATTCTCATCAGAGCAAACAAGATAATATACACAAGTTTTTTTGTACTGATGTATGTGATTTCTATCAAGGTTAAACATATTTGTAGATCTCATACTTAACCATGTAGAAATTGTTTTTCACGAGCATTTGCAACAAAAATATTAGATGAGTTTTGAAATTCGTTACTAAATTCTCTATTAGGATGCAACTTTTGGTACTATTTCCAAAAGAAGTGTCTTCCTGATTACATTTTTTTTTACCAATTGGAATAACATCTTCATGCTTTCTTGAGTGTTCAGTATTTTAGTCTTGGATTGTTCTTATAAGCAACACTTGAATGTCCATTACATTTGTTCCCGTATGCCCTATCTTGATAAGATCATTTCCTCCATTACATTTCAAATAGAACCCATAGGAATCATTATTGGATAGGTACTTGCCTGGATCTAGACCTTGTTCTAAAGCCCTCAAGATTAATTCATGATATCCAAAAGCCCCAGCTGCATCTGTAGGGCCATCAATCCCATCAGTACCAGCACTAAGTAACACTGATGTTGACCTTGACAGCTGAGAATTGGATAGGTAGTAATTCTGCAAAGAATACTCAAGAGCCATTTCTTGGTTACGTCCACCCTTTCCTTGACCAGTTACTTTGACTATGGTTTCTCCTCCACATATAATACAGAATCCTTTTCTGTGAGTTTCTAGAGTGGTCAGAAGTTCAATTAAAGATGATTTACTCACACACAAAGCTGTACACAACTTCTCAACTTCTGGTTCTTCAATTCTTTTGAGATTATTCAGTTCTTGACACATTACAGCAAGATAAGCCATTGCCCATCCAACAACTTTGGCCTCTCCCTGAAGGGACATTGTCAGAACACATGGATGATAATTACACTGAAATGCTGTGGCTCTTGCTGCTTCCAATGCTTGTTTGTTTGTTCCAATCAGAAAATTCTGAACATGATAAAGATCTTTCTCTTCATAAACCTTTCTTGGCTTCTTTAAAACACACAATACACTTTGTGGTACATCATTCTCAATATTGTATTTCTTTAAGATTTCTAATGGATATGATGCATCATCTGTGTTCCTTACTGTTGGACCACTAGCAATCAAATCCAATGGATCTCCTACAATATCAGACAGAATCAGCGAAACAACCTAAGTGAAACAGAACATTAGACATCAGTTACATGGTATCTTAAATCATACAGTTTATGGAAATCTAATACACTTTAAATCATATGATATGCTCAGTGTATTTCTTTAAGATTTCTAATGAATATAAGTCACCTGTGTTTCTTACTGTTTGACCACTAATAATTTGATCCAATGCATTTCCTACAATATCAGATGGAATCAGCAAAACAGAACATTAAACACCAGAACACAGCATTTTAACTTGTACAATATTTGAATATTATAACACAATTTTACTAATCTTAAATGACAGTTCCAGAGACAAAGGCAAAATTAGTTTTGCAAACATAAAATTGTGTTGTAACGTTAGAAACGGTTTAGAACACACAGTTTGAATTAATAACAATGCTTCAAAATATCCTGCTGACTTGGTTCAAACTTAAGTAAAACTAGCAATAGATACTTGACTTTTAAAAACAAATAAACAAAAACTAGTCAAATATTATTTAATGATCTCAGCAATATCAACAAAAATAAAAAGTTGTTATTGTTGTCTAACATATTATGAAGTTTTTAAAAATATTTCACTCCTCTTGCTGAGCTATTCTACAATTTTAATCTACTATTTTGAAATTGAACCATATAGTTTTTACTTGTAACACAGTTTAAAAGTTTATTAATAAACACAATGTAGTCTTAACAATTACAAATGATGCTCAATTTTGTAATCAGCTAGAGCCAATGATTGGATAAAGAGATTATATTCTATATGTGTCAATGTTGAGTAAACAAAGTGGTTTCTTGATATATTCTGGCTACCCAGAGGTCATTTACAGGGGTGAACAAAGGATTCTAATGAGAAATTAACAAATCTCTGTAACAAATCATAGATTTAGGAATTTCTTTATAGTTTCTTTAAACATTGCTATTTTGTTCTTGAAAACATTTGTGTGCTACATTATATCAATTTCAAAGGTAGTTTTTTTAAAATTAATATTATTACAAGATGTAGAATTTAAAATACATATTCTTTGCCAAGTGTCAAAATAAAAGGCTTTTACTTTTACTTCTTGATAGTATAAATATATACTGTGTTGTTGTTAGGCTTAGGATTCTTATACAGTAGGTGTCTGTGACTTATTGATAATAAATTCAATGATAAAGAAACATCACGCACTTCACTTGTTTTCAAAATAATATATATAATCGGAACAAGTTAACATATGTACAACAAATTCTTTACACAATGGAGATTATAGGCTTATCATAAATACTATATATATATAGTTCTCTTCTTCTTGTCAAAAGTCCATTTAGGCCTATTCTATTGCTTTAGAATTTCAGTTGACAAGCCGAACTATCTTCTCTATTACTATCGCATTAGTATTCTGTGTGTGATTCACTTACAATTGTGGCGCGAGTTACCGCAATCATTTGGTCTTCTTTCTTCTAAATATCCTTATGTTTCTTTTGTCAAACAATTTGGTTATGTAATTTGCCATAAGAAGGAAGAACACAAGAGATATCAGTGACAAGGTATAAAGATTAAAATGATATTACAAAAATATCCTTAGGCATCTTTGTGACCAGTGCATTTAATGTGCACCCTAAGAAACATAGCATACACAAATTCTTACTCAATTTCTGTGAGTAACATATTAGTTAAATGAAATCTGAGTAAAGAAACAATTTTTATTAGAAAATTCTAAACAAGGCCAGTATTTATATATATATATACTACACATACAGTATTTGAGAAATGCATTCTTGATCAATCCTTTGTATGAAGCAAAAAGAAAGTGTACTACATTTCATAACATAACCAACCAATGACAAAATATACTAGCACTGATATTGCATGCAAATGTGAAATTACTTGCCACTAGTGGTTTTATGAAGTTTGTGACTATGTTGTATTTTATAACAACACTGATTACTTCATAACATTTTTGAAATTTCACTTTTACCTAAAATGTCTCATTTTTTACTGTGTATAGCTTTAACTATTTGTTCATCAACGATTTTATAATTTTATAAATGAACAGAAAGTTTTGTAAAAATCTACATTTACGATTTGTATACTTTTGTTTCGCACAAGTTGAAATATTTTTTTTGTATTAGTGTGTAACAAGCCTAATCACAGAAATAAAATTAATTCATATTTAATGCCTTGTCATGTGGTGTTTTTTATTATGATTTTTTATATAAAATATGCATAAAAACCACATTTCCTAAGTACCCTTAAAAAAAGAATATATTATATATATATAATTTCTACTATAAGAATATCTTTTGCTTTTTTATATCTTATTAAAAAAAGGGTGGACATTGAGAGTTTTCCATTGTAGAATTCTAGGGAAGTTTAATTCTATGTTAAGTTTATTTCTAAATATTAAGAGTAACTGCCTTCCCACAACTGACTGCAGACAGCGAAAGGTAGTATAGGAGTTGAGATGTTGTAGGTTCAAGCAATCAACTCTCAACCCTTAACTGATTCTAGTTGCTTTCGAGTTTGACATTGGTGTTAGGGTTTTGTTTGATGTGGCCACAGACATTATCCATTAAGACTTAAGGATGACAATGAGAACTAGTAATGGAAGAATAATTCTGAATTTTGGTCTAAGTATAATGTTGTTTATGTTTTGTGTCTGTATATATCTATATACATACACATATAGTGGCTTATCATGTATACTCAATAAAGCCATTCATTTGTCCTGCTTTTTGATTCTTTGTCTATTATGTGCAGCAAGTTTAGTATTGTCATGTACATAACAATAAAAGAATCTAACTTTCCACACAGTACTAGTATTCAATATGATTTTACTGTCAAATGAAGATATAGTGTTGTCCTGTTATAATGCAATCATTGGGGTCCATAAAATGTCATTACGAAACAAGCGTGTTCGCGCTAAATTGGGATTCAAGAAAATCAATGTTCAAACTGACCCAATGTTGACCTGACATCCTAAAATACCTCTATTTTCACCCTCTTTGACTAGTTTTTTTCACATTCCCTTTCTGGCAAGTAAATTATCTCTGAATTAAAGAATTTTGTGAATGAATCACTGTTGTTAGAGTAGAAATTAAAACACAAATAATTTTTAGTAGGCTTTTTAATAAACAAAGCAACAAATAAAAACATTCAAGAATATTAGCAATCATCATTTGCAGTTTATTTCTTAAAAAACTGATCGAGTGTTCCTTGCTTGAACGTAGCATATCTCTGGCTGCGAGCAAAATCTAGAATGCTTCTGAGTTGGAGGATTTTTATGTGGCCCACCTCCTGAGTCTCTAGCCAACGGAGGCTAGCCTCAAAGTGTTCAATGGCTTCAGACACTTTTGGTGGTGGTGATGGAGGCTCTTCATTATCCACTTCTTGTGGCTCGAGAACTGGTACACTTGCCTCCATTGGTGCTATAGTTACGGATGATCTCGGCATCCATCAAGTGCTCATATGTTGGGCATCCGTCGTCAACAGAGTGCCATTTGTGTAGCTCTTCTTTGCTCCATTCAGACAGCTTCTTTGCTTCAAGCACATCTTCCTCTGTGAAGCCGTACAAATCTGTCTCGTCATCATCATCATCTTCCGTGGTGGATTGCCGTAATGAAAAGGCAATATCCGAATTCATGTTAAATCGGAGTGCGTAAAACCATGGTTTCACTGTACTATTATTTATTGTAAACTAAAAAAGAAGATACTTTAACTTTTATAAGTAAAAGATTTTACAAGCTTGTCAAAATGTTAACAAAAGGAATAAATCATGCATATATTACTTTATCAGGATGATAAGAACAATCTTAATACATATACTAACTTGAGCTGGTTTTGCCATTGCAGCCAATCCTCCACCTTTTACGACAGATAGCTGTTTACGTACAGAGTTCATTTCCTGAATTGTAGCACCTCTGGTAGAGAGTAGCTTTATCACAGCTATTTTCTCATCAAGTGTAACAGGAGGAACAGGTGCAGGAAAAAGTGCTGATCCTCCCCCTGAGGATAAAAACAATATTAATTAACATATAATCCTCATTAGTCAAATTATGAAATTTCTAAACTTTACTAGCTCATTCAAGTATATAATAAACTTGAGTCATTTATTTTAAACATGACTGCAGTTTGAAAATAAGCTTAAATATTAAATTTTACTAAATCATGTTCTAAGCCATTTGATATAATTTAGGCATCTGTCCTTTTTTAAATCATAAGTTATCACATTTTGAAATAATTAATGTAACAGAAATTTCTAAAACTTTAACATGGAACTACAATTAGTTTCGAATTACATTCTTCTGGTTTCATAATACAATACTACCCACAAGCAAAGCTCATAAAGGAGTAACAAAATTCAAAGTAACTGTAGACATAAATATCACCTCATAGAACCATTCAAAACTATAGCTTCACCTCAAAAAGAAAGATAACTTTACAACATTTAAGAACTAGAGAAAATAGTATGCAGCAGTATAATACAGTTTTTCATTTAAGAGTAATTTCTTTAATTCTGCTTGAACATTCAATGCAGCCACTACATCCATTTAGTTATTTAACTTGTAAAATTTGATTTAATGACTCTGTGCGAAGCACAAGTATGTATAATATTCCTCAACTGTTCATAACTCTATCTTAATTATACACCAATCTGTAATCACGGACATAAAAATGCTAATAGGTTTAATCTACATTTTAAAAATTTTCATATTCCAAGAATATTCATAATTTGATATATTCTTTTTTTTTTGTGGTAATGAGTGGTGTTCTAAAATTTGTGATTAGGTGTAATGAGGAATTAATAAATAATTTATTTAACAAAATAATTGTTTTTATGCACATTAAATAAAAATAATAACATTCAAATCATTTTGGGTATGTGACAAATGTGTGAAAATATTATATAAATTTGACAAAGGGAAAACCAACCAAACATACAATACCATACAGCAGTATTTGAATTAAAATATTAGCTCATAAAACTGTACACAACTTACCAAGAAAATCACATACAAAATCAAAACAAACTTTAAAATATTGTAATTTTTTTACTTAAGATAACTTTAAGGAGTATTTCATTTTTATGTGCAATTTTAATATTTCCTAAAATTACTACAATCTATAAGGTAAATAATAAATATTTCATAATTTATTTGTAATGGTTTTAGTGAGAGGTTATTAGAACATTGGCTGTTTCTTCAGGTATATAAAGCATCTTTACAAGGTTTATAGTGTTGAAATAGTTTATAACAAAACTTATGTTTGTAAAAAAAATTAGCATTGCTATGTCTTGCAGCTACATTTGTAGTTTGAACTTAGTCATACAAACAAAACATGGCTACTTTCTTGATAACATAGAGGAGAAACACTTTTCTAATGCTGTTGTGCTGTATGCTAATGCTAAGATGTGTTGTAATTAAGCATGGTCAAGACTTGGACAGCTCTGAGGCTTCTTTTAACTGATTTTGTTTCATGTATAATAAATAGTACAGTAGTATCATGTAGAAAATTTAATGCATGGATGTGGGTAATTAGAAAATTTAAAATTACAACTTGGAGAAATATCTTGTAACATCATCTAAAATTAACATAGAAATCTGGGTTTTTTTCTTACAGAAAATATGAATTTACATTACAGAGTACAAATAATAAACAGATTATCATAGGAATTTATGATTGCTACTTGTACATCTACAATGTCTTTCAAATGACAATACTGTTGAATAAGGATATTACTGAATAGCATCAGAAATCATCATATATTTGTTGTTTCCTTTGTTGCAAGACAAAGCAGAATATAGCTGGTAAAATTAGTCACTGCATCTCATCACAGCAAGTGATTAAATCACCATTGGCACTTCTCCTATATTCTCACTCTCAGAAATTTTACACATACAGAAAGTTGACATCTGTACTTACTCGTGTTTTCTTGATTTTTGATACACATGCAATGTGCATATTTCAATAGTTATTTCCAGGCATCACAGTAGAACAGCGAATAGTCTTACAGAAGGTTAATGGCACTTTATGAGAATTATTTTTTTATGATAATGAAACAATATCTCTGTAGATGCCATGTTTCGTATCTATATATATATAGTTGGTACATGGTGAATTCCTGACGAGTAGACACATACTTGGATAGCCAAAGCCCTTTCCACTGAGGGATATTCATAGAAAAAGAACATTAGAGATCAAATGACAGACCTTTTTTTTTTTTAGTTTACTAACAAGTGTGATTTATGTCAACCACGTGAGAACCAACATGGTGTATATAAAACATACAAAAATCACTACGGCTAAATTTTTAGTCAAATATCCAACTTTTTCCGTGGCTGCGGGTCTTAATATATTTCTTTTGATACTTTACTTTATTTGATACAGTTGCCACTTCCAGATATATTTGCAACTTTGGACCTCACCTTTCCAAACGGTGTCACCATCATATTTCTCAGACTAGGTAAAAGCATTTATGCTAACAATACTCTTGGTCAAGATAATTTACATCTAACAATATATCTTCTTTTCAATAACTTTAAAACTAATTTATTCCTAAACAATGTGTGAATACAATAACTTTGAAAACCGTATTCAACAAATAACGATTTGAATAATCAGCATATTTTGTCATTGCTCACCATACAATTTATGAACAATGTCAAAAATTCAAAATCTGCCCTTGAATGATGTACTTAATCTTTTCTTGAACTAGAACAGAAGGGTATAATGATGTGCAACTGGTAAAATTCTGCAAATATACAAGTTCTTGATTTTCTTATTTCACTTGCTAAGCATGGAAAAACATAAGATTCAATGGATACAAAAGTTAAATTTTTATTAATCCTTATCAGAAATACACAAGAATGTATCTCAGAGCATACCCCTGTACCCCCCCCCCCAAAAAAAAAAGATTTCAAATTCTGGCTGATGTGCTGCTCAGTATTCATAATAATTGAAGCAGTAGAGAAGAAAGTAAAGAGCCTGACAAAGTTTCTGAGTCTCAAGTTAACCTCAACAGAAGTATAATTATTGGAACTGCTTGGGAGACACCCATGTAGTTTGGATAGATAGGTGTTTGGTTGAAAGGATGTTATATTTTTTAGCATGTAACTGATTTACATACATGTACATATATACAGGGTGTCAAAAAAAGACTGGTACCATAGATAATTTTTAGCTGTTCTTAATTTCAAATATGCGACTCATTATGACACTGTCAAAGCATGAGAAAGTTGAGTTAGTCCTGCTATGCTGCAGAGATAGTTGATCCCAGTGGAAAATTGCTGCCAAATTTAATGCACACCATTTAGAAAGACAGTGAAAAAAAACAACAAATCACTCACAGTGCTGTTGGGAAGTTTCTAGCTAAATTTAATGAGACTGGCAATGTGGACCCTTGACAATGATACAAATATGCTTTGCAAGTGTTCAAAGATAATGAAAATACTATCTTAAAACTTGTTTTGAATTACAAGGAAAGCATCTGGAACACGTTCTGTAAAACTTGTTGAAGCACTTATTGTTCCAAACTTTCAGATATCTTGTGTATGTACCAAAAATAAATACTGTATTAATTTATCTCTTTCTAATCACAACAAATAAATAAATTTTGTAAATTTAATTGCAATAAATATCTTTATAAGGAAATACCTTTGGTTTTCACACTTTGCATGATTAATTCTATTTCTAGACACTTGACTCCTTTGCATGAATGAACATGATCCTGAACTCAAATATGAAAAGGATTAGTAGTCATACAGGACTACTGTAAGTGAAAATCAATTTACTAAACTTTTACTGTGGATAATTATTGATTTTAATGTGAAAAAATTGGAGGACACGGGTTTAGTTTGGATGAGAAGGTGGTTTTGATGACTGATATTTGATTAAACAGGCTTCGACTGTATTTAGTATTTTCTAACAGGCCAACTTCCTGCAAGCTCAATGTCTCTTTATGTATATAATCATGTAATGAAGACTAAATCAGTGGGAGAACAGCTACATTATGTGCTTTGAACATGACTAGCAATTAATTAAGGTCAAATACTTTTTCAATTGTTTGAAATTAATATATTATAGAAGGTGAACATGATGACCAAGGTTTACTATATTTATGACAACAGCCCAAAGAGGTACAGGGAACTGAAACATGCAACCAAAACCTATCAAATGCACTGGGTCTCCAAAATGAAGGATGAAATAGAAGTGTTCTAGCAAAATTTTAAACTTGTGCTTGATTGTTAGGAAGATTGCAGGGATATTCCAAAAGCAGACAAGGCTAAAATGAAGGGGCTCATGAAAGTTATGAAGGATTACAAATTTGCTCTCATCATAACATTCTGATATAATGTAATTGTAAACATAGTATGTGGTGGAAGGAAAATGGAACTACATGTACACTGGCAAAGTTCAAACAGTACGTTGTCCAAGGTGATGGTGATGTTTCTTGCTCAAACGTTTTGAGAAAGTTTTGGTTGGAAACAGTTGTAGTCCAATCTCATATTTAATAAATAGTTATACATTAAGACAAATCTGCCGTATGTGAACAAGTTTCAATAGTTATAGTGATGTATCTTTCAGATAAAGCACAAGCAGTTTGAAAATGTGCTCCATGTGATTGTCATTGTATTGATATATCCACTCTCAAATGCCAATATTGAGTGTAGATTCAATTAAAAGAGTGGTTACTGTAAAATCTTGACAGAACAACTTTACCGTATATGATCTACTAGCAATCAGAGACCAAGAACCCCAAAGAGTTCAAGGACGTCATAGGCAGACCAGCTGTGAAAATGTGGCTTCTGTCAAAGATGGTGGTCCACATTTTGCACCTCCTTCCCCAAAGAAATTTGGCAAGGTCCCAAAAGCTGATGAGAATGACATTGTCTTCATATCTGGCTCATGAGATGAGGCAATTTCCAGTGAGGATGAGCAATACAAAGAAGCAGTCAGTGACACAAATAATGAAATAACTGACCTGAAGTGATTAGAACCATAATAAA